ATATTTTCACTGGTGAGCAACATATTTTTAGGTGTCATAAAAAACAATATTTATTATAATATGTATAATATTTAAATTAAAATGTATTTATTTAGCAAATATGTTTTAAGTCGAATAAATACATATACATAATAAAAATAAAATAAATGAAAATAAATAAATAAGCATGATGTGATATATATATATATATATACTAATATTTATCAGTATTTTCACTGGCAAGCGACATTTTTTTAGGTATCATAAAAAATAGAAAACATGTATTATAATTTGTATTTATTTAAATTAAAATTAAAATGTATGTATTTATTAAGCAAATAGGTTTTAAGTAAAATAAATATACATAAAAATAAAATCTATAAAAATCTATACATACATATGCATGTAACAATATTAATATATATCAATATTTTCACTGGCAAGCAACATTTTAGCAACAATTTATTGATTTAAAAAGGTGTGTGTGTGTATGTATGTATGTATATATATATATATATATATATACACACTTAATATTTATATATTTATTAAGTTATTACTACTTTATTTATCACTACTTAACTACTTATTTAGAAAATAATAAAATATATAAATAATAATATAAATTCATAATGTAATGTAATGTAAACATATAGTTGAGTCCTGCTTTCGTTCTTTAATAATCAGATCCTAGTTAGAAAACACAATGGCCATGTTTTTAAGGTGTGTGTGTGTGTGTGTGTGTGTGTGTGTGTGTGTGTGTGCACACATAAGTGGGAGGAAGTTTGATGAAGGGCTCAGAGGAGGAAAATGAGACTTCAAAGTCACATCAGTGGTCTTTCATCCAGTCACCATCCGTGGTTCAGTAACTGGATCATTCTGTGCTTCTGCCACAGTGATGCACCAAAACAACCTCGTGGTCCTTTGAAACAATCCATCTTACGCTTGTTCTTAGAGTTTGAGCTGGGTGGGAGAGCGATACATACAATATGACCACACAAACATGTCTGACTTTTGAATACTTTTCTACACCCTTTACATCATGATTTGCTGGCTGGACTGCTTTACTCAATTTACATGTGACAGCAAAGAACAAATATAGAGCACTCAAAAATTCAGAGCGGGATGTGTCCTAAATAAATCAAGAGGAAGAACTTGTTATTGAGGAGTGTTTTGCACAACAAAAAGCAGTGTTTAGTGGTTCACAGTTGCAAAGTGTCGCATTAATATAGAATTCAACTGATGTGCTTCACAACTGTTTCCAATGTAGATCAGAATTTAGAGCCTGAACTGTTTTATAATATTACTTTTACTTTTTTGAGTAATTTCGTTTTTAACTCAAGTGTTTCATAATGTAACGCTGTTTTTGCACTAATTTCAGACTTAAAATCTAATCACAATCCAAATAAAAATGAAAATAATCAAATGAGATGAAGCACCTTTCATTTGTAAAAGATAGAATTGAGTATTTGTTTTTTTTTATTCAATTGTTTCATTATGCAAAGCTGTTTTTGCACTAATTTCAGACTTCAAATCCAATCAAGATCCAAATAAAAATGAAATTCATCTTTCATTTATAAATGATATAATTGAAAACTTGTTTGTTTCATAATGTGAAGCTGTTTTTGCACTAATTTACAGTTTCAAATCCAAACAAAAGCCAAATATGAAAGAATAACCAAATGATATGACGCACCTTTAATTTGTAAATTACATAATTAAGTATTTGTTTTGAAAAATGAAATGAAAATGCAGCTATGCAAACATGAAAATAATAAAAAACAAAGCACCTTTCCTGTGTTATTTAATTTAATGCAACTGACTATCCTACAAAATATACACATTAAATAACCAAGCATTAACGACTTTTTGTAGTTAGTTGATTAAAATTTAATAATTTATTCATATATATTTAATATATAAAATTTTTTGCATTGAATTCGGCAAACATGACTAGCTACTGTGATATAATACTGTAATTACTCATAGCGTTTGGTCATCCCACCTACCCTAATTCAGACTCACAACACCATGCTCTTTTTCACATTGGATTGTTCTGTTCATAAGTGTTATTTCAGTCTGCAGTAATGCAGTATGGTCTATCTGTCAATCATCTTAGCGCCTTCACTCACATGAGTCCTCTGAGGACTGGTCCTGTGATTCTGCTTGAAAATCACTTCAAATCACCCAATAGGCTCAGAGAGACACAGCATATGCCTCATCTTTTATTGATGGCATTCATCCCAGACCTCTTGGAGGGGAAAGTCACCCTGCAGCCCTTGACACCCAATGACCGAAATATGAGAGTTCATTGAGCCGCAGTGCCAGGATGAGTGAGATTACAATACTAAGACCAAAGAGCGGACAATGGCACTTTCTTTATCCAACACCGTCCCAGATACTCCTAGAAAATCCTGCATGTGCCAAATGTTTCGGGTTCAATCAAAGTGAAGCGCTATGGACAGCATTTGTGGCATAATTATTTGTTGCATAATCCCTCAGTTTATAAAACAGTATTTAATGCATTTATGGAAGTGCACAAAAATATACAGAATGCACAGAAATCAAATTCTGATTTCTATTCAAAGTCAATAATTATCATATCATGGCCAATAATCAATGAATGGCCCATATTAAAATTCTACTAATAAATACATTTATAATAAGTAATGAATAAATAAATTAAACTCAACTCAACTTTTATTTATGAAGCACTTTCAAAACCATGAGAATGAGAAAGTCTTTAACGTCCTTTTAAAAATGTCCAGAGTTGACGAAGGTTTTTATTCCAAAGTGTAGGAGCCGCAACTGAAAAGGTGCGATCTCCACGACGCCTTAAAAAAATATAAAAAATTAAACATTGAAAATCAATTGTTTTAGATGCTACAAGTGAATTAATGCATTACAACATTATAGTATGAAAGTATGAAAAAAAATATATATATTATTTTTTAGATTTGTTAAAGACTAAATCTTAAATTGAAATTATTAAAGTAACTATGTTTTTAAATGAAAACTGTATTTTTAAAGATCTACTTTAAATAAGCATTAGATGCTACCTATAGTAATCTAAATATAAAAGTAGGAGAAATTAGCATGCACATTTCAATATTGGGAATCATATGTAAAATATAGACTTGATTACGATACATTTTAAAAACAATCTTTAATATTACCAAATAACCAATAATCCATTATCTGATGGCCAATAATCAATTAATGGCCCATATTAAAATTCTATTAATAAACACATTTATAAATGTAAATAAATTCAAAATAAAACATTGAAAATTACTTGTTTAGATGCTACAAGTGAATTTATGGATGAATATTATTTTTTTAGATTTGCTAAAGATTGCATTTAATGGTCTAATTAAATTAGTAATGTAACTACATTTTAAAATTCAACTATTTTTAAAGATTTAAATATAAAACTAGGAGAAATTAGCATGCACAATTGGACAATATATTTAAAAATAGACTGATAATGATACATTTTAAAAATAATCTTTCATATTAGCTGATACTCAATATGATTCCAATATATCATGCATCCTGAGAAAATACTGTTTTAAAAGTAGATATAAGACTTTATACGTTAACATGAGACTAGTGTGAGAGAAATGTAACAAAATGTAAACTATTGTAATATAAGATATTATAAACAATAACACAAAAACTCACACACACACAAGCTTCCAGATTTCTGCTTTTACAATGGAAATGTTGCTCCATAGACTTATATTGTCTTATATATACTGCTTCACTGTAACCACAAATTTTGCCTTTTTATTTTTTTTAACTAAAAAAATGAGTCAAAATGATTTTCTGGGATCATCGGCACCATGCCACAGATGCTGAACTTGCATTGAGTGCGAAACAGACCTTAGATCTCAAGCAAAGCAATTACACTCAATAATGTGCCTCCATTTCTGAACAGAGAGTCTCTGATCGATAGACTGACCTCAGAGCCGTTCAACCACATGTTGAAGCATTCATCAAGCAATAACTGCACACTGTTTCAGAAAGAACTGAGAATCGACTACAACTATGACCCTGTAAGCATTCGCCCTATGGCCACAGTAATCAATCTCCATTTCGAGGAGCCACCGTCTCGCAGTGAAACTGGGCTTAATGAGACACATCCGGACAAACCGGGATGCTGGAGGCCACACTCTTCATCTTATCTTCCACTACAGTAAATAAAACACCTCTCAAAGCTGGGTTTCTTAAAGTTATAGCTCACCTAAAAGTGAAAATTGATTCTGGAAATGTACTCAGGACATCCAAGATATAGAAGAGTTTGTTTCTTCATCAGATTTGGAGAAATGTAGCATTACATCACTTGCTCACCAGTGGATCCTCTGCAGTGAATGGGTGCCATCAGAAAGAGAACCCAAACAGCTGATAAAAACATCACAAGAATCCACAAGTAATCCACACCACTCCAGTCAATCAGTTAACATCTGGAGAAGCCAAAAGCTGCGTGTTTTTGTGAAACAAATCCATCATTAAGACGTTTTTAACTTCAAATTGTTGATTCCTGCTATTATGTTATTATGGATAGAAAACTCATATTTTAGCCAGACAATGGATTTGATTCTCAAACATGCAGCTTTGGGCTTCACCAGATGTTAACTGATGGACTGGAGTGGTGTGGATTACTTGTGGATTATTGTGATGTTTTTATCAGCTGTTTGGACTCTCATTCTGACGGCACCCATTCACTGCAGAGCATCCATTGGTGAGCAAGTGATGCAATGCTACATTTCTCCAGATCTGTTCCTGTGAAGAAACAAACTCATCTACATCTCGAATGGCCTGAGGGTGAGGACATTTTCAGCAAATTTTCATTTTTGGGTGAACTATTCCTTTAATTCATCATGTATTTCTGTACTCTTTTAATGAGGATTGTACGATATACAGCAGCTAAAAAAAATAATATCCTGACATTTTTCAGCCTTCTGACAGTATCTGATCTTAATATTTACGTCTGAAGGTCGATATAGGGTGGTACTCACGGCTGGCAGAGCTTGACCAGGTCATGGTCGGTGGTAGTTGGCAGTAAACCACGAATGTAGAGGTTAGTTTTACTGAGCTGCTCCCAGCCGGCTGTGCTGCTGCTGCAGCTGCTGTGATTGGTGCTGCTGTTGGTTCCAGGACTGGGCGGAGCCATCGGGTGGGAGGCGGGGCCAACCGGGGGCTGGAGGGATAGACACAAAACAAACTGTGGTCAGAGTGGAAAAAGGTCAAAGAAAACAGAGAAGCAAAAAGTAAAAAGTGGCAAAATAATCCATAAGTATGTATACTGGACAGAGAGAGAGAAAAAAAGACTACTAATCCAGCAAGCAGATCACTCTTCACCAGCAACAAGATCCATCATGAGCAATTTTACATTATAGTAAATTAAATGTATATAAATTACAATATGTGCGTTTTGCTTAAAATTCAATGAAATTACATGCCTCAATTTATTAGATATTTCCTTAAGATCACAATATAAATCACAATATATAGTGTGTGCTTTGCTTGAAATTCAGTGAAAAAATATACCTCATTTTAATAAATATTTGCCCAAATATTATGAAAGTCAAATGCAAAATATCAAATTATGCAAAATAGCTGAAATGCGTAATAATTTGATGCTTAAAATTGTAACTTAAAATACTAAGTAATTTTACATTTCAGTAAATTAAATGTATATTATCACATACGTGTTTTGCTTGAAATTCAATGACAAATATGCCTCATTTTATTAAAACTTTACCCAAATTTTGCACAGATCACAATATAGATCACAATATAAGTTTTGCTTTTCAATGAAAAACCGTGCCTCATTTTATTGAACTGAATCAAATGTGAAATAAAATGTGTAACACACTCACACACACACTAATATATAGGTATATATAATGTATAATAATTTGATGTTGAAATACTTTCTCAGCTATCCTTATTGAGATCCACAGCTATCCCGAAACATAATTTCACACCTGTGAGCCCAAGTGCTTAACCACGGAAACATTTAGGATTCATTTTGTTAGTGAATCGCTGGGACTTTGGGACACACATTGTGAAACTGGGATTGTCCCAGGTAAACCGGGACGTCTGGTCACCCTATTATGAGATGAGATTATGAGTTATCAGATGAACAAGAGTGTCAAAAGCCACCCAAACCTTCTTCACACTGCAGCATTCATGATACACACTAAGAAGGGAGTTAAACAACCTGTAATTTACCTTTGTTTATACATTGTTTTACATTATTACTCCATTACTCAATGTTTCTCCAAACCTGTATGCTGTTATTTAAATGTTATTCAAACTTCTCAATACACCTTTTGTGCATTTTGGCTATTGTGATGATGCTTTCAGTTATTAAGACAAGTGTAATACTCAAAGCTCATCTGAACCCATTTTACTAAAATATTACTGGTGTAGGCCAATTAAACATTAAATTAGTAGTGAAATTTTAGCATCTGAAATTTTTTTAACATTTGGCAAGTTAATATATCAAATAAAAATGTCAAATATAAATGTCTGTTCTGACCGCCAACAGGGTAAGTTTTGTATATGGTTATCAATATCCATAATTATTAATAATGAATTTTATGAAAAAAAAAACCTTTCGGTTTCAGTTTCTGGCTAAATGAAAATGGTAATTTCGGTTTCGGTAAAAAATTAATTTCAGTGCATCATTACAAATAAGTGCTGCTTTTACAGATTCTACAACCTTTAAAAAATAACTCCAAGACTAATCTGCAAAATAAACAACAAACATAAGCTTTATCTGAGAATATGGAAAGCAATCTGATCATTTTTAGACCCCTCACAGCTGTATTTGATTTTGAAACCGAAACAAATCTTGATTCATTTCAAATTTTCAGCAACAGTGCATGCATGCAAATCTTTGGCAAGTTAAGATGGTTCATGCACACATTTTGTAAAGATTGCAAAACATGTCAAATGTAAAATAAGTCTGTTCTGACCCACCAACAGAATACGTTTTGTTTTGCATATATGCTTTTCAATAACCGTAATTATTAATAATTAATTTTATTAATAAAACCCTTTCAGTTTTGCTTTCTGACAGAATGAAAATGGTCATTTTGGTTTCGGTAAAAAATTTATTTCAGTGCATCATTATAAATAAGTGCTGCTTTTACAAATTTTACTACCATGAAGAAAAAAAAGAGTAACTTCAAGTCTACAAGAACAAACACCAAACATCAACTTTATTTGAGAACTTATAGAAAACAGAAGAATAAAAGCAAACGGTAAAGCAAGTTCCCGTCCCTCACAGTTGGGTTTGATTTTGAATCTGAAACGATTTTTGAGACATTTTAAATTCTCAACAAAAGTGCAAATCTTTGGCAAGTTGAATTTTGTAAAGCACAAATTTCATAAAGATTGTAAAATATGAAATATATCTGTTCTGCCCCACCAATATAATGTTTCGCTTTTCAATAATAATGACTAATTTAATGACTAAAACCAATTCAGAATTTTTGAGGATCAAACAAGAATCATTTAAGGAGAGATGAATCAATGAATCGATCTTTCCCTCCACCCCTACTGAATCTCCTCAGCTCTAATGCTACACTGCTCATGTTTGTCAGAGCGAGGATGAGTATCTGGCAGCACTGTGATCCATATCTGCAGTGCAGTCTCTTCTTCTTCAGAAAGCAGTTGTCAGCATAACGTGGGTCCACAGGGGCCGGAAGCTCTGACCTAGGAGCACAGCTGACGGAGAGGACGCTTCGAGAATCTAAAGGAAGCGAATGCGGCACTGAACATTTCTATGTGCTGAACCCTTTTGTTAAAGCTTTGTTCTTGGACGAGCTTGATATGCAACAGACCTAAAGCCATTCTTTTAACCTCAACGCAGGTAAATCCTGCTTGTTTTATGGAATTGAACTTCTACGTAGGTCTGCAACAACTTCAAGAGGATCATCAGGAATTGCTATTCCTGTGGTAAAAACTCATTATAATTTGGGTTGAATTTGCAATATTCAAAACGTCCACCCCGCTACACCGTTTGAGCTAGAGACTTACAATTTCACAAGAAAGTCCCATGCACTTCTCATGGGGAACGGTTTTGCCTCAAGGACCCATGTGTTATGTAATTCACATTTCAGGTAAAACCTTTAAAAGCTATTCTCTCATGAAACACTCATCCAATGAATCTGAGATTCTTTACACGTCATCTTTGGAAATAGCTTGCAGATTTGTTGAGAAAAATACTTTTTTTTTAACACTTGATATTATTTCAAATGTCGTGAATATCATAGGAACTTCATGTTTTCTCGTCACCTTTCCATCATCAAGATCCACAGCAATTCAACGAGGAACTAATAATAACCCTTTCCTGAAGCTAGGACCACCAGGAAAAGCCTGAGATCATCCACTTGTGTCTTTCTCTACAGTCCCGACAACCATTTAAACTCAATCATAAGTTTCAATACATTTGATGCAATAACAAAAGGCAATTTTTCACGCAAGTGATCTAATAAATACAACAATCTTAGCATGAATTTGGCTGCTGTGAATACAGTTCTGATTCAAAATAAAGTCTACAAAAGTCTATAAGTACCAGAGTCAAGTTGCAAAACTTGTCAAGTCATATCTTTAGCTTTTATACATATGCAAAATTTGAACAGATTTGGAACTAGAAATTAAAACCTGAGACCGTCAATGCAACTCCACGGATTGTAATATTAAATGTTATTTTAAGAAAATGACTTGAGTGAGTGAGTTTTTTAAAATAAATCTAAAAAAAAAAAAAAGAACACAAATTGGACACCGTATATTTTTGCATTTGCATTTTATGGTTCTCAGGAACTTCTCACAAATGCAATAAAGGCATTTTTGAATCTATTTGAATAGATTTGTTGAGATTGCATAGATTTAGAAATTAAAACCTAAGACCATCAACACAACTCCACAGACTGTCATATTAAATGTTACTTTAAAAAACAACTTGATGCTCCAATTAAAGTTTTTCCACCACAATCTAAAACAAAGAACACAAACAGGACGTCATATACTTTTGCATTTGCATTTGCATTTTTTGCTTCTCACAGATGCAATAAAGATATTTTTAGTCATAATAGTGGTGAAAGTGTTGTGGTTTATCATGCATGTTTTGTATACATGCAAAATCCAGCTATTTCTCTGAGCAAAAGGGAAGAAATAAGAGCCAAGTAAAACAAAAGCCTACTACATTAAGAACTCAAAAATAAAAAAGACTGATAAATCATTGTACAGTGAAAACCGGAACTTTTGATAGATTTCTCACGGATGCAATAAAGATCTTTATGGTCATAATAGTAGTGAAATTGTTGTGGTTTATCATGCATGTTCTGAACACATGCAAAATTCAGCAATTTATCTGAACAAAAGGGAAGGAATATGAACTAAGTAAAACATAAAATATAAAATACTCAAGCTTTATCAGGTATAAAAGAGTTAAGTCGTTGTACAGTGAAAACTGGAACTTTGGATTGATTTCTCATGGATGCAATAGAGATATTTTTGGTCATAACAGTGGTGAAAGTGATTTATCGTGCATGTTTTGTACACATGCTAAATCCAGTATTTTCTGAGAGCAAAAGGGAAGGAATATGAACTAACCAAAACAGAAGTCAACACAAAATACTCAAGCTTTATCAGGTATGAAATAGATTGATTTCTCAAATAGAAACAAGCTCCACTGCTACAAACATCAAGTAAATGTCACGCAGATCCATTCCAAACTTTTATTTAACCAGAATAGCTTCAACCAAAAATGCGAGGCCAACGCCACTGAAAATCATTAGGAATTTCTGAACGGCAATGCTTTGCTGGCTTCATTCTCTGCGCTATAAAGGAGTTCTTGTGTGGCAAAGACATCACTTCCGTCCTGTTTGTATGGACACAGATGTTCTGAGCTGCGGAGGTCTTCCTGCTCAAGTGCCCTCGCAGTTCAACTGTGATTATCCCGCTCGCTCTTTTGTGGAAGTAACAAGGAGGAGGAAGCGTTCGGAATCTCTGGTATGCAGCAGTGACACAGTTCACTGGACGAGATCCAGAGACAGGAAAACTGTCCTCCTGTGTTCCCATCCTGCCTTTTACGCAACTTCTGATCCAACATAAAACTAACAGAAACTTCATTTTGAAAATACATTCCATTTGTTTTACATGATATTATATCACGTCACATGA